TACAGTGTTGTCCTGATTTTTTTTTTTTTGATTCTTATATAAATGTTCTAAATTAAAACAGATTAGATTGAATCATGCTGTTTACTGACCTAGTATACCAGACTTGATCATTTACACTGTCTTTAAAATCATGGTGCACATGTCTGATTGGTATGTGAGCTTCTGCGGTCAGTGTGGCCCAAGTAAATGATGTAGAAATGTGCCACGTGCATGAAAAATCTGTATCTTTGAAGCTTAAAGCTAAATCCCTTGTTTATGAAATCTTTCCCTAAGTGAATTTTGTCTTTTATTTGGGAGATGGCAACACGGGTTTTGTGGGAGGAGTATATAACAATTAATGTTCTGATAGCCTACATGATAAGCCCCCAAAAAGTACATAAAGCTATGAACACCTTTTCTTGACAGGCCTTGAAGAGTGCCGAGGAACACACGCTTTGAATCACTGAAGCATTGAAATAGTAATACTCATGGAAGAGCCACAAGACTTACCCGAACAACCAGTAAGTATATTTAAAAAGGCTAAAAATGAAAATATAAGACAAATTCAGAATACAGTTATTTTAATCAATATTGGGAAAGAAGGCTTATCCTTTTATTCAGAGGAGAAAGAGCATTTTGTTGTTAGTAAAATATGCTGTACATTTATTTACTATAAATGTACAGGCCACAGTAATAAAGCAATAGTTATGTATGCTTGAACTCTATAATGTTTCTGTGAAAATAATTACTTGTTATGCTCAGAAAACCAGACTATTTCAAGCCTGTTGTAGAGAAAGTAAAAGTCACTGTTTTGGGGACAGAATCAACATGCTGGTTATTACAGGGTATATAGTTTTTAACTCTTGTGCTCGAGATCTTGAAAAGATCCTGTGATCCATTGTTTCCACTGGTAGAAAGCATTTTTAAAGCTTAATTTAACAGTGTGTTGGATAGGGAAGCATGTCTGAAGGTTAAAATTGCTACGTATTTGTGAAGTATTTGCAGTGCTGTTTGCATTATCAATAACTGGTATTATCACAGCACAGAAGTGTTGGGTAAAGCAATTATCAGTACAGTATGAGATAAATTGAATTCGTATATTATATCTAAAACATAATAGCATAGGAATTGAGTAGAAACGTTTGTATTAATGCTGTGTTTCCAAATTAAACTCGATGGAAACTCGTTAAGAAATTGCCAAGTCATTTTGAAGCTTATTCAATTTTTGTAGACCTTGTCATCTGCACACAAAACCAGGATAATGTACTGAGGGCACTTTAGGGCTGTTCCCATTGGAAAGGTTTTGATATTTTTTTAATGTGAGAATTTAATCTTGTTCAGTTAAACTAGCTAAAAAATACATTGTAATGTCATTTGTACAATTTTAGGACTTTATGAAAGTCAAATGAAGTGGAAATGTAAATTTACAATTGTTCAGACCCTTGCCTGCCACAACCTGCAGTTGATGGGCCTGAGTAATATGCACAAAATGTATAACAAGCAGGAAAATCATATAGCTTGAACTCCAGCTATTTGTAGGATTTAAAAATGAATTATCTGTATTAAAAAAAGGAAGTATCTTTAATTACATCCTCATGTGATGAAAGCTGTCTTTATTCTTCAGGGCATGAGAGATAGGGTACAGGTAATTTTCAATACTTGGAACCATCCTCTAGGCAGATTGTGCTGTAATTTTCAGCTGAAGATTTTCTCCCTAATTTCTTTTAAGTACTCAATGCCAGTCAGTCATTCTGCAGCAGATTATCAGACTACACTGATCACAGACAGTAAGTGAGGCAGTATTTTGGGTATAGGGCACATTCTTA